CCACATCCATCACTTACCTGAGGAAAGTTCCCGTGGACAACATATGTGCAGCAGCCACATGGACATCAGAAAACACTTTCGCAAAACATTATGCACTTGCCTCGGGACCTCTCCAGCATACTAAACTAGCAAAAGCTGTATTACATACCTACCTCTGGAAATTTCCACTACATGCATCTGACAAAGTGGATCTTTGCCCACGAAACCTTATGCTCCAATACATCTGTTAGTCTATAAGGTGCTATAGGACTCCTTGCTGCTTTTGCAGATCCAGACTAACATGGCTACCCCTCTGATACTAGTTCTTACCATTTAGGAGTTCTTGAACAAACAGATGGACAGACAGACTCACTCACTTTCAGACAAACTCTCTAAAGTATACAGATTAAGGAACAGCTGAGGACCTCGGTATTAAAGGCACTGATAGGTTTTTTTATCTTGTATCTTGTGTGGAGTGAAAATGTCCTCTTCTGACTAATGATGTTAAGTATTAAGTAAATGACTAATCGTGTACTTGATACAATTTTTATAGGGTACACAAGTAAGACAATAAGGGACTGCTGGGGCTCTGCAATTTAAATGTAGTAGGAACCGCATGTGTAGGCAGCCCAGCTTCTACTACATTTAAACTGCAGAGCCCTAACAGGACTAGGTCTGGGTCCCAGTGTGAGCCAGGACTGCTTCAGTCCCTGCTCGGGCTGCGTTGAGACCACTGTGGCTCTGTCTTTCAAAATGTAATAAGAGCTGCTGTGCCTTCGCCTTCCCCATACTGCAAAGACAGTGCTCTTACGCCAGCTCCCCCCAGTTCCTTCTCCCCCCACACTGGGGGGGGGGGGGGGGTAAGGGAATACAAGTAGTCGACTCGACTACCCTCTTTACATCCTTACTTCTGATCAAGGCATGTCTCAATTCCTTTAATAATAATTTACAATGATAATGTATTTGGAGGACACCAACTACTAAGTAATGTTCCTTTTTATAAAGAATATAAAGGGGAATTTGTGCCTCCCATTTATGCTTCTTCATCACTAAAAGTGCAGTCTTTCTCCTCCTCTCTCAAAAAATTATCAATAATAAAGATAAAATGGAGCTGAGAAAAAGGCATTCTTGCCATTATTTTTACTTTTCTAATTGTACTTCTGGGTAGCTTTGAGCTAGTGAGAGAAAATAACTGTTTCTGCTTTTCCTATTTTAAAATGAAAAGACTTTAATGCATAGACTAGCTTGACCTAACAAACTGCACAGACGTGATTCAAAATTTTTTGTATTTTATATACTAAAATATCATTTTTCTTTTTAAAAGACTTAGTGAAATAAAACAATCTACCTTTCTCAAATGTATTGAACCTAGCACATGAAATGTATTTCATGCATTAACATTGGTGTTGCCTTGACAGTTGCTGAGTTACTTTCACAAACAAAGTAAAGTTCGTCAGGGGGTTGAAGAAATGCTGTATAGATTGTATCAACCTATCCTTTGGAGAGCATTAAAGGTAATTCTTCTTTACGGGATTTTCTCAATTTGCAGTTGGTGTAACATATTGATTTTTTTTCCTTTTTAAAATGTCATGGTTTTTATAAATAGTTGTCTTAAAAACAAAATGTCTATGAAAATGGGTCCTGCATAAGTAGGAACTTAATTTCATCCAAAGTGGCTTTAAAGTATGTAGACGTAAAAGAATGTGGTCTCATATAATTGTGTTGTGTATATACATTTGTGTACTGTGCTCATCACTGGAGGGGTTGCGATTGCTCTGGAGGATAGGGTCATAATTCAAAATGATCTGGACAAATTGAGGAAATGGTCTGAGGTAAACAGGATGAAGTTTAATGAAGACAAATGCAAAGTGCTCCACTTAGGAAGGAACAATCAGTTTCACACATACAGAATGGGAAGCGACTGTCTAGGAAGGAGTACGGCAGAAAGAGATCTAGGGGTTATAGTGCACCACAAGCTGAATATGAATCAGCAGTGTGATGCTGTAGCAAAAAAAAGCAAAATGATTCTAGGATTCATTAACAGGTGTGTTGTGAGCAAGACATGAGAAGTCATTCTTCCACTCTAATCTGCGCTGGTAAGGCCTCAGTTTGAGTATTGTGTCCAGTTCTGGGCACCGCATTTCAAGAAAGATGTGGAGAAACTGGAGAAGGTCCAGAGAAGAGCAACGAGAATAATTAAAGGTCTGGAGAACATGACCTATGAAGGAAGGCTGAAAGAATTGAAAAGAGAAGATTGAGGGGGGACATGATAGCCGTTTTCAGGTATCTAAAAGGGTGTCATAAGGAGAAGGGAGAAAACTTGTTCATCTTGGCCTCTGAGGATAGAACAAGATGCAATGGGCTTAAACTGCAGCAAGGGAGGTTTAGGTTGGACATTAGGAAAAAGTTCCTAACTGTCAGGGTGGTCAAAGACTGGAATGAATTGCCCAGTGTGGTTGTAGAATCTCTATCTCTGGAGATATTTAAGAGTAGGTTAGATAAATGTCTATCAGGGATGGTCTAGACAGTATTTGGTCCTGCCATGAGGGCAGGGGACTGGACTCGATGACCTCTCGAGGTCCCTTCCAGTCCTAGTATTCTATGATTTACTGTAGGGAGAGACTGGCAGTGGGGAAAAAGATCCACAAGTGGGTAGGCATTGGGGTAAAGCTTCAAATCCCTGCAGCGGGAGCGGGAGCCTTCATCTGCTGTAGTAAAGGGAGGGGTGGTGAGTCAGAAACACAAGAAGAATTGCTTTTTGCCTCCCGAGGCCCTGGAGGTTGAGTGTGAGACTGCCCTTGAGTTTCCCACCACCTGTGTCCTGCGGCTTCTGGGCGTGAAGGACATGGAAGTGGGTGAGGAGGGGAAGCTATGGAATCTTCTCCAGGCTCTTGCCAGGCTCTCCATTACAGCTGTCAAGGATAAAAAGATATTCTTCTGATGCTTCGTTTGCAGTTACCTGCACACTATCCTGTCTTGCTACTCTATCCTCTCCTCCGGGAACATATTCCTCCACTACATTTGCTCCTTAAACATGTCTTGTCTTGTCTGTTTTCACCAGAGTATGTATATGAGCTGGATAGCTGCTGGAGCCCAGGGAGTACATAGCAAGCTAACAAGGATAAAAAGATATTCTTCTGATGCTTCGTTTGCAGTTACCTGCACACTATCCTGTCTTGCTACTCTATCCTCTCCTCCGGGAACATATTCCTCCACTACATTTGCTCCTTAAACATGTCTTGTCTTGTCTGTTTTCACCAGAGTATGTATATGAGCTGGATAGCTGCTGGAGCCCAGGGAGTACATAGCAAGCTAAGTTGCCTGCTGTTCCTCTTTCCTCTGTGTCTTTGAAGACAATATGCTCTGATAACTCAATTTACATCTAATCTAGAATTTACTGGTTGGGCAGAGCTTTGAAATGTAGAAGTTATGCCTTGCTTAAAAATTAGAATTTCTGTTTGATTAAAAGTACTGAACTTATAGTGGTGTGTAGTAAGTTCAGTCCTGTGTGCGAGCGCCCCATGGTGGCTAAAGGGGTCTTGCAGAATTTAAGTCACCTGTCTATGGGCGAGTCAAAGTTCAGTCCTTGGCCAAGGTTCAAACCTTTTCTTTTATGCCCTTGCTTGGGTGTGGTTTGCAGGAAGTTGGGGGGGGGGGACCCAGGCCCACCCACTCCTCTGGGTCCCGGCCCAGGGACCCTATATGTAGCAATTACCTGCCAAGTTTCAAGGGCAGTAATTGTGAACATGTACCTGGGCCACTTCCCTGGGATGCCTTTTTCATCCAGCCCTTCTCTAGGGGCTTGTTGCTGAATTCCTCTTGTCCGGGATTCTGCAGAGTTGCCGCTGGCTAGCCTTTAGCTGCAGGATCTAGCTCCGCTCAGTTCTGAGGGCCTAGCTTCCACTTGGAGCTGTCCACAATTCTAGCATTCCCCAGTCAGCCCAGAGGTCTGCCTGAGTTGAGCCCCAGGAAGGAACTGACTGGCCTTAGCTAGCAGCTCCTTAAATAGCAGCCTGCTGTACCCTGATTGGCTTCAGTGAAGGTTGCCCCTCTACCCTGCTCAGAGGACCTCTCCACCGCTCCTGCTGTTGGCCAGGGTGCTGAAAGGCCTCCAATGGGGAGGTCGGGCTTTGTCCTCCCCATCACAGATAATTTGAAAAATATTTGTCAGATAAGTTTTAATAAAAAGTACCAATTTTATGAACAATTCCTTTCTTTCTCCATTGTAACAGGCTAGAAACTCAGAAGTTCGATCAAATGCAGCATTATTATTTGTTGAAGCATTTCCTATTCGTGATCCCCATTTTAACAATGAGGATATGGATAATGAAATTCAAAGACAGTTTGAAGAACTTTTTGTAAGTTTTCATGAAGACAAAATGTGCAAACAATGTTATAAAATTTACTTGGGATTAAGACCATTTGACACACATGTACTATAATTAATGGAGTAAGGAGATTGAGAGTGTTATCCACAGGAAAGAGCGAAGAAATGTGCATGTAGATTCAATTAATCTTGTGCATGTGCTGGTATTGCGTAGAATAGTGATGTTTTGGAAAGGGATCTTAAATACTCATGATGTGACGGTTTACATGAATTGAGCTACAAGTTTGATATAAACATACTAAGAGAGCTCTTAGGAAAGCCAGATAACACTGCTTGCAGACATTCATAACATATTTACTCAGGATACAATGCGGGGAGGGAGGGTCTGCGCTTAATTACTTTGTGGTACAACAGCTAAAAAAGTGCAATGAATGCCTAATCTTAAATATCTGCAGCTCTTATGATGGAGTGACTAAACAGAAGTATGAAGGAGATTAGAATTAATATAATGAATTAGAAAGGTGAGTTTATTCCTCAAGTAGTGTTTTATTCTGTTTGGGAAAACATACTTTTGTATTGACAAGAATAAATATTTGATCACTGAAGATCCAGCTTTCAAGGTTGTTGCCTCATAAATACTGGACAGTGAGAGTTAACAATTAGGTGCATAAAGATATAACCTTGGGGGTAAGATTTTCAAGTGTCTTAAGTGATTTTCATGCCCACATCTCATTGATTTTCAGTTCTGAATTTTGGAAATCCTACTCTAAGGGTGGTGTTTTTTTTAAATCATCACAAATATTTGTACCTTAATTTTGTTTTCTAGCTAAAAACTTGTTTAATACAGGTTGAACCTTTCTAGTCTGGCATGCTCTGATCTGGTAAAATCTGTGCGCTGGCATGATTTTGGTTAGCTGGATGTCCATTTATGAAGGGTGTGGCCATTTCCTACGGTCCCATAAAATGTGTTTACAACCACTAGCCCTGGCTCTCGGTGTTCTGTGCTGATACTTAGCTCTAATTTACTCCTGAATGTCTATGAGTGTTGGCAATGCTGCTAGACAATATTGACCTCCTGTGGTTCAGCAAATTCTCTGATTCAGCACTGATCCCAAGGGTGCCAGACTAGAGAGGTTCAATCTATAATAGCAATAAGCACGCATTTGGAGATTATTCCAAATATGCAGTCAATGCATACATGAAATTTTGTTTCCTCCTCTTGTTTGTTTGTAGAGTCTTTTAGAAGATCCTCAACCATTGGTCCGCTCTACAGGGGTACTTGGTGTTAGTAAAATAACATCCAAATACTGGGAGATGATTCCGGCAACCATCCTTGCTGAGCTTTTAAAAAAACTTATTGGAGATCTGGCTTTTGATGTAACCTCAGCTGATGTTCGCTGTTCTGTTTTTAAGGTATATTTATATACAGACTTTGAAAACTTCTATTGGTAGTAAATTTTTAGGTTTTCATTAAAGCATGTGGTTGGGAAGTTAATAGACGCCAACTTTAGTAGAAGGCCTGCTTTTTGTAAAACCATTTGATTCTTCTTCAAGTTGGTCTTTGCATAATTTCTCTTGTGATGTACTTCCTCTTGTAAGTTTTGCAAATGTAGAAAAAAACGCCTTCTAGGAGTGAACAAGCATCCATGTCTGATACCAAATATTTAGTGGCGCATTTGAGTAGCTATGTGATCCCCAACCATCTCAATTCCTCTCTGTGACCACATGAAGGTGGAAAGACTTTGAATGTGGAAAGGCTATTTTTACCAGATTTTCTTGTTTAGATAACACTCAATAACTAAACATATATATTTAATCATATAACTATGAAAATATTTCCAGCTTGTTTTAAAGATATGTCGTCTGACCCAAAAAAAGTGAGTAGAGAGAGAGAGAAACCTGGAAAAGTATTGTGTATTGTACTCCATTGTCAGCCTTCCCATGGTTGGATATATATTTCTTTCTGTTTGTTGGGGAAGGCTGTTCCCCAGATAGTTCAGTATACCAAGATTTATTGGTCAACACCATCTAAGAAATGTCAGAGACTGACTACCTGGGCATAAACATGTTGTCCTTGGATACCAGAGATAAACAAAACACTGCCTCATGGCATTAATAAGAAATAATTAAGAGGTTTGAGTTGTTCTTGATGTAAATGAAACAATGGGCACTGTGTTCAATAACTGTAATCATTTTAGCAGTTTTTATATGTCTGCTGTTTTGTTTTTTTATTCAGTGTGATATTTCTGTTGCAGTGTCTGCCTATAATTTTGGATAACAAACTAAGCCACCCATTATTGGAACAGCTCCTGCCAACAGTAAAATACAGTCTCCATGACAATTCTGAGAAAGTGCGAGTGGCTTTTGTTGATATGCTGCTGAAAATTAAGGCGCTCAGGGCTGCAAAGGTAGGATAAATAGGACTTGGTAGGCAGCACACAGGACATGTAAACAGAATTAGGCTATTTAGCCTCAAAGATGTATATTTACCAATACTTCAGTCAATCAGTTGTGAGAATACTTAACCGATAATTTGCATAGACTTGCAGGAAATTGTTTTAATGGTCATGTACGTCCCATTAAATGTTTGAGATGTAAAATCCTGGGTAGTGGTATTTAAGAATTTCATGCAATATATTTGAAAATTATGTTAGTGTTATGGTAGTCTAGATTCTTGATAAGTACCAGGTAAGTAAAGCTATTGTCCTATGATCTTCCTGCCTCTCCATGATTGTTTCGATGGAAATTGGGTATCTCTAATAAATACTGCCACGCCAGGAGATTACTGCATCAAAATATTTACCTCAAGTGAGGAACAAACTCCCCATATGACAAGTTAATCTTTTCTTCTCAGATTCTTACTAACTTTAGTTTATTCTTGATTGATACTGCTCATTTCCATTTTTAAATAACAAAAACAGGTTCTGTTCTTGCCTTTTTTCTATTGGGCCAGTAGCTACTTAAGAAAAGAGGGCATAGAGAATCAGTCTTCTGGGACCAGAACAGACAGGAGAATCAAAATAGAAGCATTTTATGGGGCAGAGCCACTGCTGGAGAAAGAATATTCATGAGCTCAGAGAAGAAGGGAACCAAGTCACAGAGAATAATGTGAGCCAACATGGAGGTGAGAGAGATGGGATGGACAGATGAAATAAAATTATCCTCCTTAAAAGAAAAGATTAAACAGTCCAATATTTGCTACTGAGAGGCTCTACAATTTCAAATACAGGAGATGGTCTAGCTAAAATACTGGTGTCAAAGCAGTATTTCCAAATAGTTTCTTCTTCAACAGAGATAGCATGGAGTGGCAGGAAGATCATGGATACTAATGGTTGTGCTGGAATTGCAAGTTATGCATCAATGGAAATCTTAGGCCTTGTCTCTAGTGGTATGTTTGGTCGCCAAAAAATGTCTTTTATTGACAAAACAGTGAAAGCGTACACACTATAAGTTTGGACCTCCCTGGACTGGCACCCTCAGGACCTGACCTGTCCCAGATGATGGATTTTGCCAAACTAGAAGAAATCATTGCTGGCCCCCCTGCCACCAGCCTCTTCCACTGCCACCAGCCTCTTCCTGGCCGGCTTCCCATCTCTTGCTGGCCTCACTGCCTCCATGCGCACCGGGCTCTTGCTGCAGCACCTGGCAACCTACCGCCTCCTCTGCACCCCTATGCCTGCTGCTGCGCCATGTAGCCCTGCTGCCTCTGCATCAGGTTCATGCTGCACTACTGGTCAGTGCACTACTGTGCATGGGGTTCCCACTGTCCTGCTGGGAAGCCCCACTACTGTGCGCCCCGTGGAGCCCGGGGTCAGTTAGGGACTTCTCCGCTGACCCTGAGCTCCATGCTGCGCTGCCACTTTGAAACGCTGTAGGGAGCCCAGCATCATCAGGCTCCATGTGGCATTTCAAAGGGGCAGCACCATATCGAGTCCAGGATCAGCAGGAGCCCCCAGCTGATCCTGGGCTCCATGCAGCGTTGCTGCTTTGAAATGCCACGTGCAATCTGGATCTGGCCCCAGGCTCCATGCAGCACTGTCGCTTTGAAGTACTCCCTCTTCTTCCCCCACCCTTGTTGCCTCTTTCTGATAGAGGGAGCATGGGGTGGGGGGAGCGACGAGTTGACAATCCTGTCGACTATCCAATAAGAATTTATCTGATAGTTGACCAGTCCTTAACATTCCTAGCCCTTGTAGTACCTACCTAATTCACTTAGGCTACAGCAGGCTTGCTGTTCACTCTCAGCCCTCCTTGGACATTTTTCTGCAATGGCTTTGTTTTATTTTGTTTTATCACCCTCTGAGGAGAGGAAACAAAATTTCTGAAAAAAAGAAAAAAAAAAGAATTCCACAGTTCTGAACACATATTGAACAATGAAAAGAAAGCAAAATATCAAATAGCTTATCATTAAGTGAGCACTGATGGAGGCAATAGTATGTTATCCTGTAATTAAAGACACTCATAATGCACAGGCAACCTTAATTCTATCATTTACTAACTCTTGGGTGCTTGACTTAGTAATCATAACATAGTCTTTTCTTTATAATTAAAATGACTTGTTAAGGAAAGCTCATACAATTATCTTTTCTACTGGGGAAAAATAGTTTCCAGTAGATTAATACAAACAAGGTATTTCCCTAGTAATATGATTGTATTAATTTATATAGATTTCTCACTTTTTTAAACTACTGCTACTCCTTTTAGCCGGTTTTCACTTTGTCTTCTTTAGTGGATGGTGAGGGGGGAGGTTCCAGTTACATACCATTTCATTTTGACCCAAACCAAGCTTTTTAGGTTTTAGTTTTGTTCAGAGTCAATGTTTTGGTTCAGAAAGTAATTAACAAAAAAGGTAATATCTTGTTTCTCCTTCCCTTCTTCTTTAACTTTCTCCCCATTCCCACTTTTTTAAAAAAATAAAAAAGTTCTGGAAGATTTGTCCCATGGAGCATCTGCTGACTCGTCTTGAAGTTGATTCACGCCCTGTATCGCGTCGCTTAGTAAATCTCCTGTTTAACTCTTTCTTGCCTGTTAATCAACCTGAGGAGGTATGGTGTGAACGCTGTGTTACACTAATACAGATGAATCCAGCAGCAGCCAGAAAATTCTATCGGCATGCTTATGAGTACACTGCTCCCACCAACATAGGTAAAGTACTGAACACTACAAAAGTCCTGGAAATGTCAATTTTATAATACTTATATAACATTAAGTTGTCTCCAATAGTTTTAGCAGTAATAGACCACTGTTGTATCTTTGCTTTTCACATAAAATTAGTAGAGAAATTTTAAAGGTCTTAACTCCAGTAAGGGCACATTCTAGCACCCCTCTATAAAACTTCAGTGTGTTATAGTGATTTCAGTCCTCAATTATTCTCTTTGCAAGTAATGAAGATCTAAAGGTTACATCAACCTGTCAGCTCAGCCTCATTGTGTGTGGGTGCAGAGGTAGCAGTAAGTTTAGTATCCACTGGTTTTTTTGTTTGTTTTTGTTTTTGAAAAGCCCCGTTTCGGAAAAAAGTGGTGGCCACCATTATGCAAATTAAGCATGGGATATTTAAATCCCTGCCTCATTTGCACTTTTATATGTCTAATTTACATCCCTCTGCTGATAGAGGGGTGTAGTTTACTCCTAGCTTAAGGGTACGTCTAGACTACATGCCTCTGTCGCCAGAGGCATGTAGATTAGGCTACCAGACATAGGAAAATGAAGCGGCGATTTAAATAATCGCCGCTTCATTTAAATTTACATGGCTGCCACGCTGAGCCGACAAACAGCTGATCAGCTGTTTGTCGGCTCAGCGTGGCAGCCATGTAAATTTAAATGAAGCGGCGATTATTTAAATCGCCGCTTCATTTTCCTATGTCTGGTAGCCTAATCTACATGCCTCTGGCGACAGAGGCATGTAGTCTAGACGTACCCTTTCTTAAAATAAGACTGACTAACCACCTTACAGGAATGTAGTGATGTTAAATATATTTATTAACAGCTTTGGTATAGTCATATGGAAGATACTATAGTAAATGAAAAATCTTTACTTTTTGTATCAGAATATCTTATACTTGGGGACCTTTGGTACCGTCAACTGGTGAACTATACGAAAGTCTCTTCTGGAAAAAAAACTTCCAAATTTCCCTAATTGAAAGTGCTCTCAGCCAGTTGTATTAAGGAGGTATATTGCAGGAAGTTTTTCTTTCTAGCAAAAGATGCTTTTGTAGCCAGTATTTAATAAAGTCAGAAAGAAAGAATCTTCACAGAGTGACTACACACTCGAGGCATCTGGTCACCCAAAGAACAATCCCTACACACCCATTCAAGAGAGGAACATGTTTGTGTAGGCATGGAGAGATTTCAAAGATAATTAGGCTACTGTATGTTGTGGATTTGTGTCTAGAAGGGTTTGATGATTCTCTGGGCAGATGAGACTCAGGCTCACTTTGTTACCCCCTCCCTCTAGTGAGACCTAGTTTTTCTCGTGAAGCTGGATGTCATCTCCCTGACACTACTAGCCTTTCATCCACTCAACTACTCTTCTCTGGACTATGCCAGCTTATTCAATTTGCAGCTTAACAGTAGGTGTACCCTAAGCAGTGAGTCCCTTAGAATCATTCCTTTTTTATATCAAGCCCCTGACATGGACCACTCACAGAAATTCCAGATCATCGGCTGCAAAAGGTTCAATTGTACCCCTGTTTACCAGTTTATCTTAACCCATTGCTCCTATAAACCATGCAGCAGTTCCAATAAAACAAAAGCAGTTTTAAGAAAGAATAAAGATTGAACTGGAAGTGAGAGAAAGTGATGGGAATAACTGGTTACAACATAAAATAAAATAATAAAATGTGAACCTAGGTCTACACTTGTCAATAGTTACCTTTCCTATATAAAAAAGTAGACTTCCCAACCATCTGAAAGGTCAACCCCATGCAGAACTGGATGGTTTCACAAGAATCAGGATCCAAACATCCCCTGCTCCCTAGTGGATTTTTTCAGTGATTGGATACACTTACACTTGGTGATTCTGAAACAGTCTTTTGTCTTTATTCACAATCAAGGTGATCTTCTGATGCTATAATGTTCTTGTCACCTCTATGCAGCTAATATTGTTCACTGTTGTCTTTGACTTTCCATTTCGTGGGTTGTGTCAAGATAGACAATAGACCCTTTCTTTACCTTGCTGTCTGACTAGGGTAGGAGTCACAGCTCCCTCTTTCTTAGATGGCTTATCATCAGGACACACTATATTGGTGACTTAAGGTACAGCTACATTTAAAATGCTACCTATCTATCTCCCCAAGAGGCAATAGCCAATAGCTAGGTCACTAGAAGAATTTTTCAGTTGACTTAGTGCTATCTGCACTGAGGGTTAGGTCAGTTTAACAATGCCACTCAGGAATGTGGATTTTTCACACCCCAACAAACATATCTGACATGTTACCCAAATCTATTGTAGACCAGATCCAATTTTTACTTTGAGTCCATAAAGCGTACTTTCAATATAAATACATTGTTCTTTAAATATTATCGATACCTTCATCTCACAATGATTAAGTCTTGACCAAGAGTTTTCTGTAGATATCTGACATGTAACTCAGTATGCATAAATCTTCAGTAAAGCAGTTTAAATGGTAGCCTTAGCTATGAGGTGAAAAAATAAGAGGGGGAATCCTTTCCCTCAGTGTCACAGAAAACCATCATGTTTTGAGAATAGTTCACTGAAGTAATACCTTTTCTAAATAAATCCAATGATCTCTTCTCAGAAGAGAAATACCACAAAGGAAAGTGTGGGTATTTTTTATTCTTGTTTTTTGTCTTCAGTGATTGGATCAGAAAAGGTGATAATTACTTAAATCCATCAGGGTATGTCTACACTACCCTCCTAATTCGAACTAGGAGGGTAATGTAGGCATACCGCACTTGCAAATGAAGCCCGGGATTTGAATTTCCCGGGCTTCATTTGCATGAAGCCGGCCGGCGCCATTTTTAAATGCCTGCAGTTTGAACTCCGTGCCGCACGGCTACACGCGGCACGGAGTAGCTAGTTCGGATTAGGCTTCCTAATGAAGCCTAATCCGAACTAGCTACTCCGTGCCGCGTGTAGCCGCGTGGCACGGGGTTTGAACTGCCGTCATTTAAAAATGGCGCCGGCCGGCTTCATGCAAATTAAGCCCGGGAAATTCAAATCCCGGGCTTCATTTGCAAGTGCGGTATGCCTACATTACTCTCCTAGTTCGAACTAGGAGGGTAGTGTAGACATACCCTAAGTGTTTTGTATTTGAATATATTAAATTTACATTTAATGGAATTAGTATCTTTTATACTAGCTGTCTACTTCTTATTTCCCACTCCTCCAAATGATTGTTATTATTACTTGCAATAATATCTGTTGCTGATAAAGGGTTTTTAATTGTCTAAATGATCTACTTTTACAATTTAGCTAAATTAATGCTCACTATTCGGCGCTGCTTGAATGCCTGCATCCAGAAAGAAATAAAAGAAATGCAAGATGATGAAGAAAGTGAAAAGGAGAATATAAGTGTAAGAAAGTAAAATAAGGCTTTCACTTGATGCTAAGCACTAATAACTTTTTAAAATAGTACTTGTGTTGTGACAGACAAGAAAGTGAACAAGAAAGAGGAAGACCGTAAGAGTAATAGGCAGTGTTCCCTCAGGTGATTAATCAGCCCCGCCCAGTCAGAGGCCCAGGTTGCCAAGGGATGATTAATCATCTGTGAAGGTGTGCTGCTGAGCAGCTTAAAGGGAACACTGGTAACAGGTGGGGATTTCTGGGGATAGGAAGACAGGAGAGAGTGGTTTTAAGGACACTACTGTGATATGGTAGATGGGCAAGTAGCAGGAGTAAGCTGGAGGGAATTCCAGGCATACATGCAATGGATGCTTATCTCATTCTTGTGGTTTATTCTACGTTACAATAGTAGAAAAGATTTTGCAATTGTATTTATTTAAATATGTATAAAAATACTGAATTTATGTACAGGTCAAGTCTGAATTGTAGCAGGTCACATTGCTCCTTTATTAAATGAAGAGTTCAGAAAGGGTTTTTCAGTTTTTAAAACATAATTTTAATCTGCATTTGTATTGCACAGTGTTAGTTATTTCCCTCCCCTCAAATGTTTGCGTTTCAGATCCTGAATAATGTGTTGTCAATAAATGATGTGGCTACCATGGCAAGCTTACTGGAGATTACTGTAATTCTCTGGAGAAGTATTCATAAAGCACTGGATCACAATGAAGAAGCCAAAGATTACACAATCAGAAAGTTTGCCATAGTACTTCCAGAATATTTTAAAGTATTTAAGGTACATTTTAATATTACACATTAAAAATTGTGGCCAATTTAAAATATAGATGAATAACTTCTTAGAAACCTGTGGAATTTTTTAAAATTTTAAATATTTTTTAATTCTACCACTAGCATGATATATGTGCTCATGTCCCTGGTCTGTCTTTCTGCAATTGTGTTTTCATATGGTGCCTGTGTGATACCATGAACTACAAGTGTCTGGAGTTGAGGTCCTTTGGAATTTCCCAAACAAGAGAGAGTGCTCTATAATATCATCTCGCAGATGAGCCCTTATAACTTAAAGTATTGAAACAGAAACAAATAAATAACTTTTGTTCTCCTTTGATTGTCATCCTACTATGTTGCTAGGTGTGCATGTGCTGTTGGTCTCTTGGCATCATGGTAGGAAGTTTCTGAAAAGCATAGACACTCGAGGCTCCCTTGCAGACCAAAATATTCAGTGTGAAATAGCATGAGGAGTCCCCTCCCTCTGCCCCCCCACCATTCAGTGTAATCATTTACCACTTTTTCTGTTCATTACTTAAGCAGAAAACTTAGAAACAACAGACTCTTCTTCCCTTTCATGCACTTGTTTTTACTATCTTAATTCTGCCTTGTGATGAGCAGTATCTTGATGCAGTTGTTTGTTAGGCTTTGACCTGTTTGGCTCAATTAGTTCTGTTAGTTTAGTTGATCTGTTTCCCTAGTCCTGTGGTATTCTTCATGATAGATGCCAAGCTTTGGTTGTTTCCGGTGATGCCTTTGGAAGGATAATCCAAGGAAGGTTTTCTCTTATTTGTGTGGCTTTTGTTCTAAGAACCCTCCAGGGCTGTAAAAGCTATCTGAAAATTTCCTTAGCGGAAGAATCAGATGGACACCTATTGGTCATTCATCAGAGCAGAAGAGACATCCAGCACTGTCAGCACCTCCCAAATTAGGTGCCTCTACTCCTCTTGCTTCTGTTGTGTCACCAACCATCCTTGATCTGGAAGAATTTCACTTTTCCAGGGACTTCGGTGGCTTCAGAAACACTTGTTCAGTACCAATACATTCGGTACAATCGGTACTGACCACCTCTCACTCCAGACGGGCATTGGAGTATCAACAATCTACCACAGCTTCCATAACTTCTCCAGCTCTGTCAAGTGGTGAAGAAAAGGAAGATGACAGTCTCATCAATCTCATAAGCGACGAGGAGTCCTGTGGCACCTTATAAACTAACTGAAGTGTAGGAGCATACGCTTTCGTGGGCAAAGACCCACTTCGTCAGATGCATGTAGTGGAAATTTCCAGAGGCAGGTATAAATATGCAGGCCAGAATCAGGCTGGAGATGACGAGGTGGATCCACCTCGTCATCTCCAGCCTGATTCTGGCCTGCATATTTATACCTGCCTCTGGAAATTTCCACTACATGCATCTGACGAAGTGGGTCTTTGCCCACGAAAGCGTATGCTCCTACACTTCAGTTAGTCTATAAGGTGCCACAGGACTCCTCGTCGCTTTTGCAGATTCAGACTAACACGGCTACCCCTCTGATACTCATCAATCTCATGTTTCTGTCGAGGGGTCTACTTTCAATTATCACGGAGCTTTTCAACCTGAGGCCTGTGCAGAATCAGCTTACCATGATGACATGGATACTCCTGGGTGTCCCATCCAAGGATGTTAAAATGCAGTTAATTGACTAGTTGATGGAATTTCCATCAACTAGTCGATAGACACTTTGCATTCCTCCTTTGAAATGTACAAGAGCCAAAACGGGTTAGTTGATTAGTCAGAAAACTATCTGATAAGCAAATGCTTATCAGATAGTCGACAAGTCTTTAACATTATTAGTCCCAACGAAGCCTTTTATGCTACCTCAGCAGCCTTACTAAGACCCTTGGGTGCCTTATTGACAGCAATTTTTGAGAGCCCCTAGGGTATGTCTAGACTGCATCCCTCTGTCGGCAGAGGGATGCAGATTAGGCAGGTCGATATTGCAAATGAGGCAGGGATTTAAATATCCCGTGTCTAATTTGCATAAAAATGGCCACCGCATTTTGCCAACTCAACACAAGGAGATCAGTCCTGCAACCAACATCTCTTCATTCTGTCTTGCAGATGACACTAAGCTAGGGGGAGAGGTAGATACGCTTAAGGGCAGAGATAGGGTCCAGAGTGACTTGGACAAATTGGAGGATTGGGCCACTAGAAATCTCATGAGATTCAACAAAGACAAGTGTAGAGTCCTGCACTTGGGACGGAAGAATCCCAAGCATAGTTACAGGCTGGGGACCAACCAGTTAAGTAGTAGTTCTGCAGAAAAGGACCTGGGGGTTACAGTGGATGAGAAGCTAGATATGAGTCAACAGTGTGCCCTTGTAGCCAAGAAAGCTAATGGCATATTAGGATGCATTAAGAGGAGCATTGCCAGCAGATCCAGAGATGTCATTATTCCCCTTTATTCGGCTTTGGTGAGGCCACATCTGGAGTACTGTGTCCAGTTCTGGGCCCCCCACTACAAAAAGGATGCGGACGCATTGGAGAGGGTCCAGCGGAGGGCAACCAAAATGATTAGGGGTCTGGAGCATATGACCTACGAGGAGAGGCTGAGGGACTTGGGTCTGTTTAGTCTGCAGAAGCGAAGAGTGAGGGGGGACTTGATAGCAGCCTTCAACTTCCTGAAGGGAGGTTCCAAAGAGGATGGAGAGAGGCTGTTCTCAGTAGTGACAGATGGCAGAACAAGGAGCAATGGTCTCAAGTTGTGGTGCGAGAGGTCCAGATTGGATATTAGGAAAAACTATTTTACTAGGAGGGTAGTGAAGCATTGGAATGGGTTACCTAGGGAAGTAGTGGAGTCTCCATCCCTAGAGGTGTTTAAGTCTCGGCTTGACAAAGCCCTGGCCGGGTTGATTTAGATGGGATTGGTCCTGCCTAGAGCGGAGGGCTGGACTTGACGACCTTCTGAGGTCTCTTCCAGTTCTGATTCTATGATAAGGGGATGGTTGGATGAAATAACATGATCTTGGTAACTAATTGACCATTCATTTCCAGTTGGAAATAGGTCAATGGAGGGATGATAGGAGTTGCTATAGGGAACTTTCTGGGTGTCTGGCTGGTGAGTCTTGCCCACCTGCTCAGGGTTTAGCTGATCGCCATATTTGGGGTCAGGAAGGAATTTTCCTCCAGGGTAGATTGGCAGAGGCCCTGGAGGTTTTTCGCCTTCCTCTGTAGCATTGGGCACAGATCACAGCTGAAGGACTCTCTGCATGTTGGGGCCTTCAAAGTATTGGAAGGCTTCAATATCTGAGACATAGGTGAGAGGATTATTCTAAGAGGGGTGGGTGAGATTCTGTGGCCTGCACTGTGCAGGGGGTCAGACTAGATGATCATAATGGTCCCTTCTGACCTTAAAGTCTATGAGTCTATGAGTCTTGAGAAAGCCTTTATGTGTCTTATAACAACCTTAACAGACAATTTGTTTCAAGTTCTTATAAAAAAAAAGTGACAGATTCATTACAGTCTGCTAGAATAGGTAAAGGAATCACAATACAAACTTCTTGACATTCTGCACACTATTTGCCTATTGTGTTACCTGTTAACGAGGCCTTGCTGGACCCAGGAAAAACAATATATGGTATACCCTAGTCATAATACCTTCCACCTATAACAGAGCATATACAAAAGACCAGGTTCCTTCCAAAGACTCTGACTCTTTCACAGTGGTTTCCAACCACCAGGCCGCAGACTGATGCTGGGCCGCGAACCACTGGCTGCTGGGCTGTGGCACACTGCCAGGCCACACCTATGCCTTGATGGTTGTCTCTGCGGGACTCTGAAGCAAGGCCCAGTCTGCCCAGAAACCTCTCTTCCCCTCTCCCTGGGATTGTCTGTTCTCCCTGTGCCCAGCACTGCATTGGCTTCTCTGAAAAATACCTTAATGAGGGAAACTCTGCCCAAGCCCAGGCACAGGAGGGCCCTCAGGAGCAGAGGCTGCAGCGCAGTGGGTTGCTTGCTAGGACCCAGCAGCAGCGGTAGGGGCTCTGGGAGCCTGGGCTGGGCTTGGCTCCCACAGCTGGACGCAGCTTGCTGCTGCTGCTCACCATGACTCTGGAGCCAGACTCTGGGCCGGATCCCCAAGTCCGCCAAAAGTTTGTGAATGGGTTTGTTGGTCTGCAGTATAAAAAAAGGTTGGTAACCACTATATTAGGTGATAAGCTTTCATGAGCAGCATCTGAGGATGTGAGATGTAGAAGAGAAAAGCGGAGGGGGTAAAAAAGGGAAGGGGATACAGAGAGCTAATTAAATCTGAGTGATTGTGACTCCTCTCCAACAGTGATGAGAAGGTAAGAGTACCTGAATGGGAAACTACCTATTGTAAGGTGAGAGCCACTCCATGTGTCTATTTAAATCTTGTTTCAGGGTGTTAAATTTGACAACAAATTTCAGCTCAGCAGTTTCTCATTGCAGTCTGTTTTTGAAAATTCTCATCACCTATGGAGATGAGACACAATCACTCAGATTTAATTAACTCTCTTTATCCCTTCCTTTTTTCTCATCCTCTTTTCAGCATCTGAGGAAATGAGTGATAGCTCATGAAATCTTATCTCCTAATACCCTAATAAATTTGTTAGTCTAAAGTGCCACTTGACTCCTTTTTGTTTTTGCTGAAACAGACTAACATGGCTAATCCTCTGAAACCTGTTGTCATGCATAGCTTCCCAAATGAATTCCAATTTACAATTGAGAACCTTCCATTTTACAAACCAGAATTGTTCTGAGAACTGATGAATCCCTCTACTTGTTAAAAGAAAATTCTACAGCTACCTTATGCTTGATGGTGTGTAAGAAAACATTGTCCTCACTCTGAGTTTGTAAGCAACAAGTAGCCAGAGGCAGTTTTATTACGAGCTGCAGCAAGGGAAAAACTGGTTCGGACGGGGGGGGGGGAGCCTCCCCCCCCTCCGAGGCAGATCTTCGAATACAAGCAATTATGAAGCAGTTTATATACTGTCTATTAAATATAATAACAATAACAATTAGTCTCCTTCTCATTACAAACACCAATGGCTAACAGTTATTTAGTTCCACCCAGATGCTCCTTATCTCAAGGTCCCTGCCAGAGTCAGCATTCTATCCTTATCTCCATATAGAGGCGAGAGGCAAAGGCAGCGTCTAATTACAGATCTCGCGTTGTCAGGCCACAGACTTAGCCTGACTCTTGCTCTCTTGTTAACAAGACCGAGATGGCTGCACACAAATTCCCTTAGTCCCTTTTCCTGCCTCCACACTGGGGATTTGTACTCCTGTACAAAAAAAGAGACGATTCTGTTTTAAAAAATAAAAAAAAAAAATTCAGGAGATCCTAGCATACTCAGTCCACAACCCTTCCCCCCCAGGTATTAAGAACCCTAGTGCTAGAGACAGCAGTTGCGGAAAAGACCAGCTGTCCCTCAAGCATCCATTTCACAGCCTTCTACATCTAAACATCAGTTTTGAGGAGTTGGCCAAGGACTTGAGTGACCACCTCTATCCTTACCTGCTGCAACAATCCGCACATGTTCTTCACTTTGGCGATCACCTTCTTTTCAAGATGGGGAATGTATAACTGTGGACAAATGAGTGCTGGAGATAATTTCTAAAGGATAGTCTATCCATTTTAACTCCTTTATCATGCTCTCCCCCACCCTTCCGTCCTTCTTCACGGACTTTCTCACAAACATCTTTTATGACAGGAAACAGACGCTCTCCTAAACCTGGGTACTATACAACTAGCTCCCACACAACAAAGGGGGAAGGGACCCTACTACAAATACTTTGTGGTACTGAAAAACAACAGCTGTTGAAAATCTGTTCTGGAACTAAGATCACTCAACAGATGTGTAAATGTTTCAGTGGTTCAAAATAGTAACTGTCACAGCAATAATTCCATCTTTGGACCAAGTACAGTAAGAGGTTAGGGCATTCCGGTTATCTAAAAATTCCAGTTGTCTGAGGGTCCCATCAACCTAGGAAAAACCAATGGAAAATAATAGTAAAACTCGAGTTTTTAATATTGGTAGTTTTGTAGTGTGAGGCAGTTAGTCTCATATTTCTATTTTGAGTTAAAGATGATTAGTACTTCTTAAATAAAATTTTTTCAAGCCAATCATGGTAAATCAAGCCAGGCCTGTGCACCTGAAGATGTGACAGTATTGTGGCTGGGGACAATGCCGGTTAATAAAGTTTTTGGTTTACAGAGTGCCGGATAACAAAGGTTTCACTGTAGATTGGTTCTCAGCCCTCGATCTACAGAATGCTTGCTTCCATATTGCAGTTTATGTATTTCACAGAAGGTTTCTGTGATTTACTCTCAATTAGGATCATTTTCAGCATGAGGTACTGTGCCTGGAATGTTGTGAGAAGTCCTTTCTGTGGTATTGGTGCATCTTTGCAAACAACGGTTTCTGACTTTCTGATACTTAGACGATGGCCTGCTCAAAGCATGCTCCTTCAACAAGGGTTTTGCAATACAAAAGGCCATGAGCCTGTTCCTCTGAATGAGGCTACAATTAAATGTCACAGTTCACACAAGTTCCAGGACAACACCTGGAGTTCATAAGAGCCTGCTTTCATGCAGTATCAGCCAAAGCATTTTTCCCCTTTCACAGGTTCAATATGTTTAGTCTTAACAGTCGAAGTCCTGCTCAAGATATAGAGAAATAAAACCCAGGATTATCTTTGTCGATTCCATGTGTCCAAGACAAATGTAGTACCTCTGTTTCTCAACCAATCACTCTCCAGCTTGTTCCTCTTTTCCTTTCTTAGAAAGCCAGCCAGATCTATCATCTCACTACTGGTTCTCTAGCTCATGGCATGGGTGGTCAATGATTCAAGAGCTTAGAAATGACCTGCTCTGAGGAAGTAAAGGCAGTGCTCTTACATAACAAGAAACAAACAACTCATGGCACATATATCCAAAAGAGGAAGAGATTCAAACGTACCCATCTCCCAGTTTTCTTTCTGAAGCTACATTGAAACAAACACTCAATGTCAGAAGAACAATAGCCTCTTATCTAGATAGGACAAAACCCTTCAGGAAACTTCTCATACATTTTTGTACATTGTGGACAGAGTTAAAGGATCCTCAATGCCCCCCAAAAAACCCTACTTTAAATGGATACCCATTTGCATTACTACTGCTATCAGTCTCGTGATCTTTAACCTCCTTCTAGAGTATGAATTCACTTCATTTCCATAGCTTTCCTCAAAAATGTTCTGGTTTCCAAAATATATAGCTGTGATGTGGACATGTGCTCATACCTTTGCTAAGCATTTTGCAGTCTCTCACATAACTCAAAATCCAATGACATCTTTGGCTTCACTGTCTTATTCTCAATTCTGGACTTGACTCTGAAACCAGACTCAATTCTGGACTTGACTCTCCCCCTGGGGGTCCTCTTGTAGTCACTTATTGGGAGGCTGCTTTGAGAAGCTTACTCATCTTGGACAGGAATGGCCCTGGTTGCAAGCTTCTATTTGATGTGTAATCCCTACATTTAGGCAGTATTATCATTGTCTTTGAATCCAGGTGCCATGTCTGATTTCTGAAAGTAATCCCACAATCTTTTAACTGGTTCCTCTTTGAGGAATGACTGACAGTTAATTTTCCAATATTAGTGATCTGCAGTGAAAATGCTTAGAGAACAAAGGTTATTTAGTATGAGTAAATAGCCATTGTAGAGCCATACCCATTTGTATACCCATTTCTTTGGATTCTATTTCTAATATACTGTTTAAGTGGAAAGGATTTGGATGCAGTCATAACCATTCATTTTCATATACATTCAAATGAATATTTGCTTCTGGTAGGAGAACTTGTATTTAGTCACCAAGAACAGATGTGCTCCCAAGTATATGACTCTGACAGTCCACTCTAAGTATGCTTATATATTTATTTTCAATGCTGTTTCTGGTGATTCTCCAATGGTTATGAAGATTCTGCAGTGATAGACTGCCCTTCTCAAAAAGATACTTATATTCTTTTGGTTCAGTCCTTTTTATATATATGTATTTTTTTAATCCTAGGATGATCGATGCATAATTCCATTAGTTATTCTGGCATCTTTCATGCCAGCTTCTGCTGTTCCTACATTCAGGTACTGTTTTCTTAATGCCAAAATTGAGGGGCACGGGGGTCCTCTGTTGGTCAACCTAAATTTTATTTTTATTTCTTATTTCTAATACATTAAAATATTTTCAATGAATAGCACATAAATTCAGGCACATTTATCCATTCAGGAAAATTGGCTGCTTAGTAAAATCTGTAGGGACTGTTAGACCTATGATAGGGATATTGGTGTGCATCCATGTACACGATTAACCGATAAGCCTGGGCTTATTGGTTAATCCTAACAGTTACACACACCATCCCTCCCTTTGCTGCCTCTATATCAGGGGCAGCTAATGTTGGGGTGCCGGGAGCTGGAGAGGCAGCAGCCCAGGGGATGAAAGGGCAGGTGGGAGCCAGTACATGCAGGGAGCCGGCTTTAAAGCCAGCTCCCTGCAAGCATCTGTTTCCACCTGCCTTCCTAAATGTAAATGTGTAACTACTAAAAAATTCAGCAGTTATACATTTACACAAATAAACAATTATTAACATCCCTAGCCTATAAACTTTTTTTAATGTTTCAGATATAGTTTCAGTTTTAGTGTAAGTCATTGCTGCATTAGTGAATACAAACTGATATATCTAAACTTATTTTTAGCTGTGGTGTAATCTCTAAATTGAGGAATCTTGAGAAGGGAGCTGATGAAAATAAATACTCGATCCTGATAGACTGCTTGTGTCGCTGGGGACAAGTGGGACACCTTATAGAGTTAATCTGTGATTGGATGTCTGATGAGATTACGCCAAGAAAGGTTTGTAAAGAAAATGCTAAAGTCTACTACTATGTTGCATTATATAATCTGATTCTATTTGTCCACTGTAGTTATAATTTATCCTCCAGACTAAAGTTTATTATAGTATTCTTTATCTCTCATTGAATATTGTCCTTCTTCTCTCCTCACTTAGAGTAATACAGCATCTGAGCGGCGGGTACATATCCAAGTAACACATGAATCAAAGCCAGAATTAGCACTTGATTATTTAGAATATTTATTGACTCAGTCCATGAATCGGGATTGCCTGTTATCTGTCCACAAAAAGAAATTGAACCAGCTTTTGAAAGTACTTGGAGCAGCAAAGGTAATATTTGCAGAATATTGAATGTAACGTATTACCAGGGCTAGACAAATTATGGAAAACCCTACTTGCCAGACAAAAAAGGCACTCGCGTCCCCTCCTCCCCCCAGTGTTTTTTTAATGGCAAAAATTCCTAATAAGAATAAGAACAGTAATTACTAATAAGTTATTAATAAATATCACCCAAGTTATTAATAAATATCTTATAAACCTCTACCTTTTCCCTCTGCTGCCATGTCTCCTCCTCTTGCTCCATCAGCTCCCCTGGTGCCTGCTGCCCCCTAACCGCTCACCCTCCTCTGCTGTCTTGACTCCTGCCCTTCTCACTGCCCTCAGCCTTCCTGAGACCTGTCCCCCTCCACCAGCCCTTCTCTCCCCCCTGTGCCCACTCCTCCAGTAGCCCCACTCTGATCATGTGAGCTACTCCTCCTCTTCCCCTCTCCTAACACCTCCCTCTACACACCTGCCCTGCCTCTCTCCTCTGGTGCTGGTCCCTCCCCTGCAGGTGTCTGCCCTTCTGCTTCACCCTCAGAATTCCCTGGCACCTGCACCCTCCTGGTGCCTCCTCCTTCCCTCACTGCCACTGCCCCCTATGCCCTCTTTTTCCCTGATACCCACCCCCATGCCCTGTGCCCCCACACATGCCTTGCTCCATCTCCGCCTTCCTCATGCCCACCCCTTCTTTCAAGCCTTCTCCGAGCACCTCTCCCTCCCCCGTCTAACTCCCAATGCCCTTACCCTCTCCTCTCCCAGCATCACCCTGTCCCCCCCTCCCACTGACACCTCCCCTCCTGTCCTTTTCCTCATTGTCTGCACTTGGCCCCCTGGCATTTGTCAAGCCTGTCCCTTGGTGCCTTCCCCTTTCTTCTTTTTCTTCTGACCTCCTCCCCTCCACTCTACTCCCCTCAGCACAAGCCCCTTCCACATATTTTTCTCCTTCCCTTCCCTTCCCCTCCCCAACCTGGCTTCTGCCTTCCACTTTGCGGGGTTGCCAGAGCCTTTTTGAATCCAGCGGTCACCGGCCGTGATGTCAGGACGCCACGTCATGCCAGCATCCTGGCATCTGCCGGAGTCCCGCCCTCTGGCTCGCTCCCCACGTCCTCTCACTGGAGCTGCACGCAGGCAGCCCGGCACTGAGAATTGCCGCACTTCCCCCTTCCCGGTGGCTCTGTGCTGCGCGCTGCCTGTAGTGCGGGCTTAGGCCAGCCCGTCACAACAGCCCGCCGGGCCAGTGTATTTGTCGAGCCCTGGGTATTACAATATTTAATGTTGCATAGCACCACCACTGAAATTTAGATTTGACATTTTTCTTCAAAAATCTCAGTACGATTCATCATTGCACCTTCCTTTGGCTCTTCTGCCATTGCAATCATGATAATCTTATGAGCCGATTAAATAATTTGATGAAAAGAGTGATCAAAAAGCTAGCTATTGTGTACTTTCTGAGTGTGTACTGCCTGAATTTAATCAAAATGTCTTTTGCATATTTGATGCTATAACACTTATGACTAACAATCTCATTCCAAACTTCACGGGGTAGCCGAGTTAGTCTGGACAGGATAAACTTAAAAAACAAGAAATGGTCTGGTAGCACTTATAGACTAACAAAACATGTGGATGGTATCATGAGCTTTCGTGGGCACAGCCCACTTCTTCAGATGACCAGAGTTTTGAATTTAGGATGTGCAGACCCAAAATAATTATGGGAGAAGGGAAAAAAAGAAAGGGGGCAGGAAACATGGAGCAGAGGGTATGAAAATATCAAAGGAAAAAACAAGTAGTCAGAACTGGTAACCTAAAGATTGAATAGTTAAGAGAAGCAGATCTGGATCATAGGATTGCAATTAGATAAGAAGGGTACTAACGCAAGAATCTACACAGACAAAGAGCTTTTGACACCTTCATTGAATGTTAGGTTGATAATGTCCCACTATCATTATCTCCACTGAGGAGGTCATCAGTGAGGATGAATTGTAATTCCAACGCCTCTCTATGTATTTGTCTTGTAGAATTGGTTTGTGACAAGACAGCTACCTGGAGATCTTTTAAAGAGTGATTAGATGTCTTGTTAGGTGTCAGTGTCTCCTTCCAGACATTGTGTTGCAGCACAAGAGCACACCCTTACAGGTGTATAACTAAGGGTAACAATAGAAGAGACTACCAGAAACTCTAAATACAATTACTCTTTAAGTATTTGCCTTCCAAGAAGAGAGATACACTGGCCACAAAATATGATTGTGTGGACTATTTGTGGACTGGGTTAACTGTACCTCTTAATCTGTATCAAATGCAACTATTGTAATTTAAAACTCACATGCCTCTGGATTTTGTGAATAACTAGCAGTTTAGTTTATGAACAGGAATGAATTAAAAGCGTACAAGACTTACTCCAAGATTTCCAAAATTGTCTAGTGATTTTTCTTAGGTGCCTCAAACTTACCCAATATGAGACCTCTTAAAGGAGCCTGACTTCCAGAGGATAGGTGCAGAGCATTTTTTGAAGATCAACTTCCTTACTGTAAAGTTGGGCACTCAAAAAATGAAGTGATCAGACCCACTCACTTTCTGAAAATCTTGGCTTTATTGAAAATGTATTTGAATTTCAGAAAGTAGACAAAAGCATAGTGCAGAACAGGACTTGTTTTTAAATATAATTATAAATTATAACATTGCAGGAGATTCTTGTCTCAATTATGAAAGGGACTGATGCAGGGTCTCATAGCTTCAATCAAGCAACTGCCATAAGAGCCTTCACTCTCTACTGCAGATTAAGTATTCATCTTCAGCACAAGGTATTGTTATTAAAGAAGGTATTCATGGGTGGAGGAGGACAATTATTGAGCTCTGTTTTTATTGTCAATAATTTTCTTGCTCAGTTTTCTTCTGAAGGAAAAGTTTACCTGTCATATTGTCAATAATTTTCTTGCACAGTTTTCTTCTGAAGGAAAAGTTTACCTGTCACACTTGAAGGAAACAGGTGCTTGGATAGAAAGTCATGTTCTACCTTCTATTCTAATCCATGAACGAGAGGATGATGTTCTAGAGCAGCACATTGAAGTTTCTCAGCTAATCAGCCAGGTTAGAGAACCCTTTTTACTTCAGATTTAATGAACAGTAGGTAGTATTTGTTTTTAAATGCTTTATGTATATGACGTTTATGTTTAGGTACAAGAAATGCATCCCACTAGCAGGGAGGCTGACAACCTTTACTAGATGCTGGGCGAAGTGTGGGTGTGGCTTTATGTCCTTGGAAGCGGTGGGGGCTCAGGCAGGAGGGTAGGGCTGAAAGCTAACTTCCCCTCAGTCAGTCTTTCAAAACTGCCTGGCACATGCTACTCAAGAGTTCCGACAGCAATGTAAAGGTCCCAAAGCTCCAGTTGTTGCTGATGTAGAGGTGGCAGTGGCTGGAAGCCCCTGAACCCTTTTCAATCATTGTGTCCTGGGGCAGCTGCCCCCTATCTGTCCCCACCACCCATAACAAGGCCCATTTACCCTACACTATCTGTTCTCCCATATCACTTATCTGCTGACCTGATGTCACCAGCAGGTCACTTTTTTCACTTCCCTATCAGCAACTAAGGCTAGCTCCAGAGTAGCTGTTCTCTTCCAGCACCACAGTGCCCCCTGATGAACAAAAGGCCTAACTGTAGCAACTTTCCAGTAGAAATAGAATTTCTGTGAAAAATAATTTTGCTTGGCACATCAATTCTGCACATGAGCAATAACTAGGGCTGTCAATTGACCTGCATTAATGCCTCCAATTAATGCAGGACATGATTAATGTGTTAATCCTTTTAACACGTTAATCGCAGGCGTTAATGCTGCTCTGCCTCTTTGAATTGCCACTCTGGCACTTCACGGGCTTTGCAACATGGAGCCGGGGATCAGCTGGAATCCCCAGCTGATCCCAGGCTCCTAATGCCCTGCCCCTTTTGGAGGGCTGCCGCAGCGCTTCAAAGGGGTCTCATAGCTTCAATCAAGCAACTGCCATAAGAGCCTTCACTCTCTACTGCAGATTAAGTATTCATCTTTAGCACAAGGTATTGTTATTTAAGAAGGTATTCATGGGTGGTGGGAGACAATTATTGAGCTCTGTTTTTATTGTCAATCGTTTTCTTGCAGTTTTTTTTCTGAAGGAAAAGTTTACCTGTCACACTTGAAGGAGACAGGTGCTTGGACAGAAAGTCATGTTCTACCTTCTAGTCTAATCCGTGAATGAGAGGATGATGTTCTAGAGCAGCACATTGAAGTTTCTCAGCTAATCAGGAGATTTCAGCTGACCCCAGGCTCTACCTTGCACTGCCCCTTGGAAACGCCGCCATGGTACTTCCAAGGGGCAGTGCTGCACGGAGCTGGGGTCAGCTGGAGACTCTAGCTGACTCCAGGCTCCCGCAGTGCTACTCCTTGGAAATGCTGTTGTGGCCTTTCCAAGTGGCAGGGCTGAAAGGAGTCGGGGTCAGCTGGGGACTCCAGCTGATCCCAGGCTCCTGCGGTGCTGCCCTTTGAAATGCCGCTGCTGCGTTTCAAAGGTGCAGCTGCACTGAGCCTGGGGTCAGCTGAGGACTCTAGCTGATCCCGGGCTTCCTTAGCTGTGCCCCTGTGAAATGCCACTGCAGCATTTCAAAGGGGCAGCCACACGATTAATCACAATTAACTTTTTTAATCGCTTGACAGCCCTAGCAGTTACATAAAAATAAAGATGTCCTCGTGGGTGCTCCTCATTATGTTGGTTTGCTGCTGCTGAGCCTCAGATCAGAGATTTGATAGCAGTGTCTCAGGGGCCGTGCACATGGGCATGGGCAGCCACGCACTGATAGGCTGCAGGCATCAAGCATACGCAAGGCCCTTCCCACCCTCCGCTCTTCAGTTCCTCTTCTGCCGCCTCCAGCTACAGACAGACTCAGCAGTGTCCCTAATTTCTTCGGATCTTCGTAATTATATCTCTTTGAAAACCAGATAAATTTATTGTAGCAGTTAATTTGGTAGTTAATTAGTTTTTTAAAAAAATCCCTTTCTGCAGTTCTTAACTGCTTTCACGGACATGTCTGGCTGACTGGGGTTTAAGCACTACACCTTGTGTATTCTGATATTGGATGACCATTCACAATGCGTCCGCTGCCTTGGAGTGCAGCATAACTCTCAAAAATGCCCTCACTGTGCAAAGTTAAAATTGTGGGCACAGATAGACAGAGACCTCTGCCTCAACTATTTTTACTGGAAAACTCTCTTAGACCAGCTTCTGACCCATGTCAACAGCCAGAGGAACATAAACAGTACAGAACCAAAAAGTGAGCCTTAGCACCTCAAGGAGCTACAGCACTGAAATGGCCATCTCTCTCACAGCTGATGCCAGGGGCACATATGACGCTATGGGCGTCTCCAGAGCCCACAGCGCAGTAAAACAGCGGACATGCACTAAATCGTGCTCTGGGGCATCAGGCTTTAAGTTGCCTGCCTCATTAGCTGCAGCACCATATGGCATTGATACAGTCTTGCTGACACAGAATGAGAGCATGGCACCGACCATGTGAACAGGCACCTCAGCTCCCACCACAGAGGCGCCTGATGTAGTGCCAGTTTCCTCGGTACCGAGGCATGATTCAATGACTCAAATAGCCTTTGTGCCTCCCATTATGGCACTGACAACACCAGTTGGGCACTATACCCAACACAGGGACTTATAATCTCATTGACTTTTAACTCACAATTTTTAGACCCTGAGCACTCTCCCGCTATGTTGACATCACAGAGATCACTCTCTCAGGAAAGATTTTCATCCTAATCTAACAATGATTTCTCTAGGGGCTTTTCCCCAGAGAATTCTACTTACACAGACCAGACTATTTATTCTTCCAGATTTGGGAATATGCGTTCATATTATGGCTATTTGTGGGTAACCCCACCTGAGCCATACCCTTATTGGCAATACCGAGACAAATGACAATATTATCAGAAACACCAGCATGGCCAGAAACGACAGTGCAGTATCCCCCCTCTAAACAAATACAAGAAGGGGACCCACCCACACAGCAGGCAGCAACTTCGCCTGACCAAAATGACCCTCCCCTACAGTGGCCCCACCTCCAGCTACCTAGATGATGCTGCACATTTCTAAGACCACCTTAAACGTCTACCCGCTGAATTAAACATTCCTCTTCAGGAGGTTATGGAAAATCAGTATGAGCTAAGTGATGTATTGCGCTCAGTAACACCGTCAAAAATAGCATTGCCAATTAATCCAGCAATAATGGAACCGGCAAAGATGCATCAATCTCTTTTAAGGCTAAGAGAACAGATAAGAAATATTATGTCCAAACCAATGGTTCTGAGTTTTTTTTACTCACTCAGTATCTAATTTCCTCGTAGTGGATGCTGCACAACAAAAATCCAAGCAGCAACAATACTGGTCCACTCCATCAGACCGCAGTAGCAATAGGCTTCGCGGATTTGGGCGTAAGATATATATGTCTTCTGCTTTACAATTTTGCATTTCAAACTATGCAGCTTTATTGAGCAAATATGACTATAGAAATTACTCCAAAATGCATGATTTGGTCGCAGATATTCCCGAGGCTAAGAGACAGCAGTACTGGTGTCAGAGGGTCACACGATTGCTAGAACAGCATTACAACCCATGTTAGATGCTGCTGATATGGCTGCACGTTCTACAGCAACAGCAGTAGTAATGAGAAGGGTGTCATGGGTTAGTTCCACTCCATTCCCCAGAGAAATTCAATCTACAGTGGAAGATCTGTCTTTCGACAGTCAGAAGTTGTTTGCAACTAACACCAATGAAATTCTCTACTCCATGAAAGATTCCAAAGTAATGCTTCAGTCTTTGAGGATCCACAACCAAGCACTAGAAGAAGGCAATATAGGTATCAGCCTCACCCGAGGCCTCAATACCCTTTATATGCACAACATTACAATAGACAAGACTAACACCAAGAGGATGGGGCAGGGGCAGAAACCAACAGTGCCACCCTTCCTCTACCAATTCTCAACAGTTGCAGCAGTCCAACATGCAAATTTGATCACCAGGTCGAGGGGCTGGAGAGCCTCTCATCTATTTCAACACCATCAACTCAAGCAAACCTGTTCCATCACTGATTGTTACCCTTCTTTAACAACTGGCAATGTATAACCTCTGACAGATGGGTCCTGCAGATAATTGAAAAAGGCTACCTTATTCCCTTTGTGTCCATACCCTCTTCCCACCCCACTTCACTGTTCCTTTTCAGAGACCACTCTCAAAAGATCCTTCCTCAACAAGAGGTAGAGCATCTTTTACACGTAGGGGTAATCAAACCAGTCCCCACACAATTTAGAGGCAAGGGGTTCTACTCCCATTACTTCTTGACAGAAAAAAGGTTAGAGACTTTCGAGCCCTCAATAAATTCTTTCAGAAACAATAATTAAAGATGGTAACGCTTTCTATTATATTACCTGTGTTGGAATAGAATGATTGGATCTCGTCCCTCGACTTGCGAGATGAATACTTTCACATTGCCATCCACTCTGCTTACAGATGTTTTCTTCAATTCGTTATAGACTCTCAACACTATCAATACAAGGTTCTTCTATTTGGAGTCTCTACAGCCCCAAGGGCCTTTTCAAAGGTTCTGGTGGTTGTCACAGCGTATCTGAGAAATATAGTTTTCATATTTCCTTACCTGGATGATTGCTTCCAAGTTGTGCTCACAAAACAATTCCTACTGTTCTCTGTCAGTCTCAAGACACCTATTCCGACACTGTGGGCTTCAGGTGAACAAAACCAAATTGGAGCGGTCTCCTACACAAAAGAGAGAGTTTATAGGAGCATGCCTCGACTTGACAGTGGTCCCCGCATCCCTACCTACAGACCACTTCCAAAAAATTGTGGCCTCGATAAATACCTTATAGTCCAGCCCCCGCACAACAGCACTCAAATGCCTATGGTTGTTGGGGCACGTGGCAGCATGCAACTTAGTCAGCAATGCATGACTGCATGGGAGAGGATTACAGAGCTGGTTGGGACAGGTTTACCAACCCAATGTCCATCCACTATCTAAATTCCAACTCCTTCCAAGGATAGTAAA